ACACACACACACACACACACACACACACACACACACACACACACACATTCTGCTTTCTGTAGAAAGAATAGTTGCTTATATCTTTTTTGAGGGAGGTTGTAAATATGTTCGTTTCTTTAGTTTCTTGACCCTGTTGCCATTTTCCTATTCCCAATTCTCTTCTCTTCTCTTCTCTTCTCTTCTCTTCTCTTCTCTTCTCTTCTCTTCTCTTCTCTTCGGTGATTTTAACCTTAAGTCTTTTTCACATGTATTTTTACTGTGAGGCTAGACTCTTTCGTCTTTTTGCAAGAAGCGTCTGTCTTACATAGTATTTTCTTGGGTTTATTCGGTTTTTAACCATGAAGTCAGATCCCTGTGTGGTCAAGTGGTATTAAGACTCTTCTGATTGGTTGGTGGTAGATATTGTAGAGCAGAATGAAGGAATAAATCTGTTTCTGGCCAGAGCACATGTTGTTCACAAATAAAGACTCTTAAAAGCCCCCCAAAACATTCTTACTGACAATAACTGTTTTCAGCTTCTGCGCTCCTCCTCAGAGCTCTTGGCAAGCATGTGGACGCATTCAGGCACTTAGGAATGTGCTGTGCTTCTGGAGAGAAGAACGATGCATGCACCTTTATGGTGTATTTCATTATAAATATTTTGGAGTACACCAAACTCTGTAAAAAGTGTAGCTTAACATATAATTTCAAGGGTTTTAGCTCCTGAAACCAAATGCCCTCCAAGGTTTAGCTCCTTCTCTGACCTTGTGCCTCCCTCAGCTGAGCTAATCCTTCCTCCTGTCTGTCTGGAACATTTGGTGTTTGTATGTTTCTGACCCTCATCTCAGTCATTTCTCATCATATCTTTGTTGCGGGCCAGAATGTGAATTCTAGGAGGTCAAGGATCAGGGACTGTTTATTTCATCTTTCATATTTTCCATCCAACACAATCTTTATATAGGGGAAAACTCACTAATTCAGTAAATATCTATAAGAGTTTTTGGGCAAATTGGTATGTGTAGTCTGGGGATAGATGAATACAAGAGAATTTTAAATCTGTTTTTGGTGTTGGGTTCTGTGTTACCTCATAGTAAAATGGCAGAGATAAAAATAGTATTCAGTTATTGAGCTTGAGACCTGTAATTTGGGTTTTATGATTAGGGCTCACTAGATAGCCATTGATCTAAACTTAATAACAGATGGGTTTAAAGGCCTAGAGTCTTCAAATTACATAACTGGAAGACCAGGTTCAAATTGTTCTCATCTGTAAAGTGGGCGTGTTTCTTAAAACTGATGTCCAGTCTAGTCCAGATTTATTTTATATGCCAGAGTAGCCTTAGTCTTGGGTATTTAGGTCCAGAGAGAAAGTTGAGACCTGAGATTTCAAAGTCTGATCCAGATAATTGAATTCTCATAATTAGATGCAGTTTATCAGAAAACAAATACAAATGGAGCTAATAAAAATTCTCTTTAAATAAAAAATTCTCAGTGACAGTGAGGGCAATTTGTCCGAGAAATGAAGAATATTTCATGAGTGAATTCTTTGACTAGAAGTATGTTCTATTTTCCAAATGAACTACCTGAAAATCAGGTACTTAAAAGATAAAGGGAAGGTTTTGTTTGTAGGTCTAAAATAAGACAGATACAGAACTCTTGTAAGTTAGAATTTGCCTTTATCATATTTAATGCACCTGTGTGTTGAAATAGCAAGTAAAAATTTCAGTAATAAACATGCTATCTTGTACTATTCAGTTATTTGATATTGATTTTAGGCTAGCCAGGAAGATAGACAAGAATCCCAAATGTTAACTTTTGCAGCTACGGTACATTGTTGAATGATAATTTTATTTTTTTATTTGTAATTTTTTAAAAAATGTTTTATTTATTTTGAGAGAGAGAGCGTGAGCAGGGGAGGGTCAGAGAGAGAGAGAGGGGCACATAGGATCCGCCATGGGCTCCATGCTGACAGCAGAGTGAGCCCAATGTGGAGCTCAAACTCACACACCACAGGATCATGACCTGAGCCGGAGTCAGATTCTCAACTGACTGAGCCACCCACGCACCCTGGGTATATATAATTTTAAAAAATTTATTTTGTAAGATATTTTAGTGAGAACTTTAAACACAGGTAATCCCAAATAAAATACCAGAGAATGATTCATTCTTTCATATGTTTATTGACTGCTAATATTTTACGTTAAAATTCTGTAGCACTTTTATGAATGCACTTTTTCATTGTTCATTGTTATCATTATTATTCCACTGTTCTTAGTCATTTATAGGTCCAAAATTTAGCTATTAAGCAGTACTGTGATGTATATCTTTATAGCCAATATCCTGTGCATAACCGTATCATGTAAGTCTGTTGTGAAAGTCGCTCACATACCTTATTTATTCTCTGAATTCTTTATTTTTATTTTGTTTATCTAAAGTGTAATCTCTTAAAAAAGAACTTCATGGAGAATTCATATTTTTTACAAAGGGAGAAGTTGGATTTTTGACCCTACTTCCGAACTCTTACTGGAATTTCTAGGTCTGGGAACTTGTTGATGAAGAGAAATACCTCTCATCCACTAAAATCAGGTAGCTGCCATACACAGATGGGGGAGGAAGTTTTCTTTTACTCTCAGGACTCTTTCTGAATGTAGTTGATACTACAGCGTGTGTATTTTAAAGCCCTTAGTGAAAGTGGGCTGCTGGATTTTGACTAGCATAAGAATTTCACCCCTCCCTTCCCCGCTCCCCCCAACCCCAACATATTTGTCTTCAGATGATAGAGGAAGACTCTGGAAGTTAGTGAATGTATCTTTGTTGTTTTTTGTTTGTTTGTTTGTTTGTTTGTTTTAAGTAGGCTTCACGCCCAGCATGGAGCCCAGCGAGGGGCTTGAACCCACAACCCTGAGATCAAGACCTGAGTTGAGATTAGAGTCGGACACCCAACTGACTGAGCCACCCAGGAGCCCCAGTGAATTTGTCTTTGTTTACAATATGTTAAAAGAATGAGTCTTACAATGAAAAAGGTGGAGATTCATTTTTTGTATGTGACCAAAGTGCGAATGACTAATTGTAAAGGGCACGTGTTTCTTTTTATAGTAATATAATCATGACAGTATTAATAAGCACAAGTTAGTTTTCTATATTCCAGACATTCACTTATTTAAATGTCAGACGTGCAAATTCTACATAGTTTTATCTGAAAATGCCTTGATTTTATTTCCATTCTTTAAAGATATTTTTGGTGGATATAAGATTTTGGGGTGATTTTTATTGTTATTTTTATTTAAGCATTTAAAAAATGTTCCATATTTTCTGGCCTCTGTTATTTCTGATGAAAATTCCACTGTCATTCCAATCGTTGTTTGTATGCAGTGTGTTTTTTTTCCCCCAACTATTTTATTTTTTTATTTTTTTATTTTTTTGCTTTTTAGCATTTTAATTGTGATTAACCTCACTGTCACTTTCTTTACATTAATCTTGGTGTTCATGAAATTTATTGCATCTGTAGATTTGTCTTTATTTGGGAAAAGTTTGGCCATTTTTTCTTGAAAATTTTTATGCCTCATTCTTTTTCTTTCTCTCCTTCTGAGACTCTAATTAAAAATGTAGGCCTTTTGATATTTTCCCATGGGTCTTTGAGACTGTTGGTATTTTCACCTTAAAAAAATTCTTCTGATTAATTTCTTGGATCTGTCTTCCCATTCATAAACCTTTCTCTTTCTTTTCTCTGTTCTACCGTTAAGCCCATGTAGTGGTTTAAAAATTTTTCAGATAGTATATTTTGTAGTTCTTGAATTTCCATTTTCTTTTCAGTCTTTACTGAAATTTTTTATCTTCCTTTATGGTGAACATCTATATTTTGTTACGTTCTTGAGCATAGTGATAATAACCGCTTGAAAATCCTTGCCTACAAATTATACCATTTGGGTCAACAAAGGGTGTGTCCATGATTATGTGACTATTTTTTTCTCTTGAGAATGGGTTGTGTTTTCCTGTTTTCTTCCTGGGAATAATTTTGGATTGCATTCTGGATATTGTGAATGACAAGTTGTAGAAGCTTTGGATTTGGTTATGTTCCTTTGAAGAGTATGGATTTTGCTGCTGCTGCTTTTTTTTAAAGCAGGAATGAACTGAACTCAAAGTGCAAAACTCTTTCCCCCATGATGGGTGACAGCTCAAATTTCAGTTCAGTTCTGTTAGCTGCTCTGCTTGGATTCTGTACTGTGCCTGTGTGTGCTGGGCATTAGCTAGAGATTTAGGCAGAGTTTTGTGCAGATTTTAGGGCTCTGGTTCTCCCGCTGTCTTTTTTATGGTGTTCTGCCTTATTTTCCAGTGGTGCTTTGAATGCTGTTCTTCAAGCCAGCAGAACCTTTTGGAGTTTTAGCTGCCCTGCATGGCACAAGATTAAAAGATACAAATTGGGGAAAATTGTGCAGCATATTTCCTTTCTTCCAAGTGTCAGCTCCCCTCTGGTGTCTGCTGCTTTTGTATACTCTCCAGTGCCCACAAGTGGTTGCTTTTTTTTTTATTTAAAAAAAATTCTTTTTTTTAACATTTATTTATTTTTTGAGAGACAGAGACAGAGCACAAGTGGGGGAAGGGCAGAGAGAGAAGGAGACACAGAATCCGAAGCAGCTCCAGGCTCCAAGCTGGTCAGCACAGAGCCTGATGTGGGGCTCAAACCCACGAACCGTGAGATCATGACCTGAACCGAGGTCGGCTGCTTAACCGACTGAGCCACCCAGGCGCCCCAACAAGTGGTTGCTTTCGTGTGGAAGTTATCATTGTTATCGGGGTAGAGGGTTGAGTTGTGGGAACTATTTGACCATACCAGAAGCCTCAAACTGTTTTTTTTCTTTTTCTTTTCCTTTTCCTTTTTTTTTTTTTTTAAAAAGGTTTATTTATTTATTTTGAGAGAGAGAGGGAGAGAGAGAGAATCCCAAGCAGGCTCCATGCTCTCAGCGCAGAGCCCAATGTGGGGCTCAAACCCACAAACTGTGAGATCAAGACTTGAGCCAAAATCAAGAGTTGGACACTTAGCCAACTGAGCCACCCAGGCACCCCTTCTTTTTATTTTTTAAAAGATTTTGAAGTAAACTCTGTACCCAATGTGGGGCTTGAACTCATAACCCCAAGATCAAGAGTCACATGCTCTACTGACTGAGCCAGCCAGGCACCCCTCAGAAATTTTTTTTATGTTTATTTATTTTTGAGAAAGAGAAGTGGGGAGGGGAGAGATGGGGGAGGACAGAGGATCTGAAGCAGGCTCTGTGCTGAGAGCAGAGAGCCCAATGTTGGGATCGAACTCATGAACTGTGAGATCATGACTTGAGCCGAGGTTGGATACTTAACCAACTGAGCCACCCAGGCGCCCCTCAAATTGTTTTTTTCAAGGTAAGTTTATACTTTTAGGGTAGTTTTAGATTTATAGGAAAATTGCAAAGATGGTACAGAGAGTTTTCAAATTGATTTTTTTTTTAAGTTTATTTGTTTTGAATGAATGAGAGAGAGAGAGAGAGAGAAAGAGAGAGAACGAATCCCAAGCAGGCTCTGCACAGGCAGCACAGAGCCCAGTTTGGGGCTCGAACTCATCAACTGCGAGATCGTGACCTGAGCCAAAGTTGGATGCTTAACCGACTGAGCCACCCAGGTGTCCCTTAAAATGCTGAATTTAACTGCCACTTAATGCCAGCATTCTGATGAATTCCATAATGCTGCCATGTCCTGGGGAACTGTTGAGGTATGGAAGACTGTTTTTGCCTTTTTGCTAAGTGTCATCAACTGTTACGGTTTTTGAACCTAGATCTCCTTTTTATGTGTGCACGCCTGTGTGTATTTATGTTGTGTGTTTTCTGTTTCTTTGCCTGCTCAGCTGTGTTCATGCAGTCCATTTCCTTTACTTTTCTGTTGTCATCTGTTGTAGTTTGGTAAGTCAGGTAGACAAACTTGTTAAAATTTGTTTGCAATAAGAATAAATCATTTCTGAGAGCTTGAATGTTGATTTGATGAGTTCAGGTACATGACCTTTAGTATGTGGTCTTGGTGACCTTGGTGTTGGTTATTCAGAGGCTTTTTCTCTAGACATCTGCTGACCAGTGTGAGAGCCACTAGCCATATGTGGCTTTTGAGTGCTTGAAATGTGTTTCGTTTGAATTGAGATGTACTATAAAATATATACCAGAATTCAAAGATTGAGTACAAACAAAAGAATGTAATATTTTTTTGTGTCATTTACATGTTGAAATAATGTTTTAGATACATAGAATTAAGTAAGATTATTTAAAGTAGTTTCACGTGTTTCTTTTTTACTCTTTAAAATATGGCTTCTAGAAAATTTGAAATGAAATTTGTCGATTACATTGTATTGATTGTAAGTCAGGGGATTTATCTTGGTAGTAATGTGCATATGAGTGAGGTGGTGGTTGTACCCCAAAATCATGAGATTAAGCAGGTAGGAGTCCAGCGTCTCTTTCTAACCTTGGTGTAAGAAATTATGAGAATGGTTAATAGCATGGACCTCAGCCATCAAACTCGGTTCTGCTACTCCTCAGTTGTAGGACCTAAGACGGGTTACTTAAGCTTCTCAAAATCTGTTTCCTTATCTGAAATATGAGGAAAATAATACCTAACTTCATACGGTTATTGTGAGAATTACTATATCTAAAGCGTTTTCATAATAGTGCATCTCAAGTGAGATAGAAGCTGCTAAATGAAACAGTAGCTGTTAGCTTGTTCGTAGGCCACTTTGTGACGTTTCATTTGTTGTGTTTGATTCCTGTGGGGAGTAGAATCCAGTTTGATCCAGATGGGAAAAGGGGTTCTACTTTTGGTCGTCTTTTTTTTTTTTTTTCCTGACTTGGCATTTAGTATTTTTAATTACATGTGGCATATAATTTTCTCTGAAGAGATAATAGACTTTGTTCCTCCTATCTTAGGCTTTTGATGGGTGAATGTAAATGAAACATTGCAGCAGAACTTGTTTTTGCTATAGTTTTGTTGTGCTTAGATGTAAAGTCTGGTCACTGTAGATCTGACATTTTGTTTTAGCAAACGATTCTAGCTGAGACATTTCAGATTTGATTTGAGTATAGATTAGAACCTTTGTTTTCATTTTCAGCATATGTTTCCAATATGTAACAGAACAGATGTCCTCAATAGAATCTTTCTCAACTGTCATTAATTCCCGATTACTTTGCATTCAGCATTTTTTCAAGCAATATGAAGAATTCTAAAGAAGTTCTGTCATCTTTAAGCAGTTTAGTATTTTGGCAGTGGTTAAGGGACAGGAATAAAATGGGTAAACATTTTGAACATTTTCTTTTAGAATGTTCTTAAATCCAAAAAAAAAAAAAAAAAAAAGGAGAAACCAAGCAGTGCAGAAGTATATCAAGTCATAACCCTCCCCCCACCTCTCCTCAAGTGTGTCCTGAGGTCAACAGGGTCAGTTTTGGTTTGTAGCCTTTCACACTTGAGAAGTATTTCCAAGCCATGGTGGTAGTTGTATGGTCATCTCTTGAGGGATTGCTCTGTCTTCCAGCAAAGTAAAGGCACACCCCCACCCCTATCTTGAGGCTTTTCTCTACCCAGTTCCTCAAACCAGAAATCTAGTTCTTTGATTTCTTTTTTGACTTCACTTCCCACATGCAGGTCATCCACCCACAAGTCTTTAGGGTTGTATCCTCTTGGTTCAGTTTAATCCACGCATTTCTCTCCAGCTCCATTGCCTTGAATCCAGGCCACATTCTAATTTTTTTTTTTAACGTTTATTCATTTTTTTGATAGAGCGTGAGTGGGGGAGGGGCAGAGAGAGAGGGAGACACAGAATCCGAAACAGGCTCCAGGCTCTGAACCGACGGCACCGAGCCCGACTCGGGGCTCGAACCCACGGGCCATGAGATCACGACCTGAGCTGAAGTTGGACGCTTAACCGACTGAGCCACCCAGGCGCCCCTAATCCAGGCTACATTCTGAATCTCCCAGTGTACGTTCTCCACCAGCTCCATGCCCCCAACCTGCTCTCCATATGGTAGCAAGTGTTACTTATTGTCTTAAAAAGGAAGTTGGATGTT